TAAATTTAATTTATAAAATATATTATTTTATTTTTTATTAAAATATTTAAGTTTCAACAGTAAATATTAAACAAAGAGTTGACTAATTAGACATAAAAAATAAAGTCATCTCAGATACGGCTTAAAGGGATGGGGACTACAAGATCAACAAAACGAGGATTGATGATCCAATCTCCACTTTTATGAAAACGATAGGGACCAATCGTCCCAAAAACAAACTAGGGGCAATCCCGTCATAACATACCCCAGGTGGCAAGATTACGATTGGCCAACAAAAAAGTCCCAAAACATGCAAGGCGAAAACTGATCCGTCTAAACATCACCACGTGGCATGATCTCAATGACTGTAACAACAGTTGAATTAAAACTGACTCGACAGTACGAGTCCGAGATTCCGCCGACTCCGCCGCAAATACAGGCGCGAGTCTCGACTTTGCTGCGCATTGGCTTGCTACAGGGTCTTCCGTTTCTTACTGTTGCTTGCGAAGAAGAAAAAATTCTCAGGTCTTCGGTTAGAGAAAAATACTCTCTTAACCCACTAATTCTCCGATCAACTTTCAATCCAATAACAACAAACAAAAGCACAGGTAATTTTCAGTTGTTTGATCTTTTTAGTTTCTTGGAATCATGTTTTTATTGGGTTTCGTTGATCCCTGCAATGTTTAATCTTTGTTTCATCAATGGAGTTTTGTAATATGCGCTATTCAATCTTTTTTTTAAAAAAAAAACATTAATCAGTTTAGATGTGTTTGGTTTTTATCTTTGTTTCTCTGTATCGATTTTAAATGTCACTCTTCACCTTTATTTGTGTGACAATATTTCATTATCAAGACATCAACTTTTGATTGAATTGTTGATCAATGGGAAAAAAAAAAATCAATTGGATATATTCTGTTTATTTGGGTTTTCTAAGTGATGTTTAATGCGTTTGAAATCTAAGAATTTGGAACTGTTTTGGATCTCCTAAATTTATTTGGTATGAGATGAATTGGTATCTTGAATGCAGTCACTTCAGTAACTTTGTTTCCTACCGGTTACTATTCTGGTACTCTATTAACACTACCTGACTTGAAACTGTCACTCAATTAAATGTAAATCCTTAATTGTCTCGGAATCTTAAGTTAGCCCAGTTCTATGTCTTTCAGTCTCTGTGGCTGACAAAATGTTGTCAGTCCTCTAGCATGAAGTGAATGTGATGGTCTCGTATGGATAACTTTAGCTTGAATTTGTATGCACGTAAAAATTGATATCGAATGAACTGGGAAGTTGATGTATGTTTCGCTGGATGAACTATGAAGTATTTAAAGGGTGGTTAATGGTTAGTCACTATACTGGGAAGTTGATGGGTTAAGGTCCATAAGGAATACTTGATTATCTTTCTATGTATGAGTAATCATGATTTTCTTACCTCCTGTGTTATTTCTCTTGTTAAAGTCATAGCTGGATTGGCTCCTGAAGGATCACAATATGATTCTCATCAGTATCACAACAAAATGAATGAATTGTAAGTGCAGTTCATCCCTAGTTTCTTGGGACGTTTTCTCTTTGGGGATATACACGCTGAGCAGTATTGACTTTCTGATATTGTTTGGCTCATGATTGCAGGCTTTCAGAGGAAGGAAAAGATTTCTTTACTTCTTATGATGAGGTTTTTGATGATACTTTTGATAAAATGGGCTTGACAGAGAACCTTCTGAGAGGCATCTATATGCCTATGGTAATCTTCATTCCTTTCCCAAATAATCGACCCTTTTTTGTTTAATAAATGAAGTTTGTAGACAAATTCCCAATTTCATGCAATAATTTGTTTTTATAGGTTTTGAGAAGCCATCAGCAATTCAACAAAGAGGAATTGTCCCCTTTTGCAAAGGCCTTGATGATGTGATTAGCAAGCACAGTCCGGGACTGGTAAAACAGAAACTTTTTGCTCTGGCATCTTGCAGCAGCTGGACTATGATTTAGTGCAATGCCAGGCTCTGGTGCTTGCGCCCCTAGTAGAGAGCTTGCCCAACAAATTGAGAAAGTCATGCGGGCCCTTGGTGAATATTTGGGTGTTAAGGTTCATGCTTGTGTTGGTGGCACCAGTGTTCGGGAGGATCAAACGATCCTTGCTGCTGGTGTCCACGTTGTTGTTGGGACCCTGGTCGTGTATTTGATATGCTTCGCAGGCAGTCCCTTTCGTGCAGACAATATCAGGATGTTTGTGCTAGATGAGGCTGATGAGATGCTCTCCCGAGGTTTTAAGGATCAGGTAAGTCGTGTATTTTGAAATGCTTGTTGGATGTCATGTTTCATTGCCATTTGGTTTAGACAAGTATAATAATTACTGAATCGATGTTGTGATATTTATTTTGTTTGTTACTAATATTTGATGATATTAATTGACTCATTGATAGTAGGATTTTCTAACTGAATATAGACGATTGTTTTAGCTAGCAAAGAGAAAAGCACACTGCATCTCTTGCTTTAAATGAAAGCTTGCTAATACGTGCTGTCTGCTTGAAGATTCCCTTGCAATTATATTTGCAACTCAGATGTTTTATTCTGTTTTATTAGTGTACTAGTATGGTCCTTTTCTCATTAACAATGTTACAGACATTTTCTCTTTCAGATCTATGATATCTTTCAGCTACTCCCTGAAAAAATTCAGGTCGATCGGTGTGTTTTCTGCAACTATGCCCCCAGAAGCTCTGGAGATCACAAGGAAATTTATGAACAAACCAGTAAGAATTCTTGTGAAGCGTGATGAGCTGACTCTGGAAGCTATCAAGCAGTTCCATGTCAATGTTGACAAGGAGGAGCGGAAGCTCGATACAGTTTGTGACCTTTATGAAGCATTGGCAATCACTCAGAGGTGATTTTTGTGAACACCAGACGCAAGGTTGATTGGCTTACTGACCAAATGCGTAGCCGTGACCACACTGTCTCTGCCACCCATGGAGACATGGACCAGAATACAAGGGATATCATTATGCGTGAATCCCGCTCAGGATCTTCTCGTGTATTGATCACCACTGATCTCCTTGCTCGTGGGATTGATGTCCAACCGGTGTCCTTGGTTATTAACCATGATTTGCCAACCCAACCAGAGAGCTATCTTCACCCCATTGGTCGAAGTGGAAGATTTGGAAGGAAAGGTGTTGTTATTGTTAAAATATCAGTATTTATTTTAAAATATTATATTTATATTGTAATTTATTATATACATTTAAGTTTATTTGTTTTATATTTAGAAATATTCTATTATATAGATCTATCTTTATATATACAATAAAAATAAAAAAGCAATAAACCTTTCTTTATATATTTTTTTTTTTCTGTTTTCAACATGATGTAAGAATCATAAACTCTTAGTTCTTTTCCTTTATTATTGTTGTTTGGTTTTTGGAGTTGGATTTTTAAATTTATTCCAGATATGAAAATTTATCATTAAAATCTCTTTCACTATAGATTAGATTATTTATTCTCAATTCTCGAACCTTTTTATGTATTTTGTTGGGTTATTACTTCAATTTTGGCATCTATTTCTTTTTATTTTTAGATTTTTTCAATATTATGAGTTTTATTGATTTTATAGTGAATTTTGAAAGGACTGCAACTCATCTTGTTAATGTTGAATTCCTAAAACATGTGATATTAAATCTTTTTAATGCTCATACTGCATTATCTACTACTCTAATACCAAACCTTGATATTTTAATTCTGATTGTTGTAATCATGTTTTCAAATAATACTTATTTCTCTTCAATATCATCAAATAATTCATTTTCTAATATTTATTATGCTGATAGTTCTCCTATGAATATCTCACATTGGTAATATTTCTATGAAGTTATTGACTTTACCAAATGCTGTTTTAATTTCAAAACTTAATTATAATATTTTATTTGTTGGTCAATTATGTGATTTTGACCTTCAAGTAACATTTTCTGCTCATAATTGTTGTGCGTAAGATCTGCGGACAAAATACATTCTTAGAACTAGTCGCAAGGTGGTTTTATACTTAAGAATACTTTATTGTATAATTTTATACTTAAAAATATTTTATTATATAAATCAATATATAAGACCTTTATATATACAATAAATAAAAACAAGAAAGTAATAAACATTTCTTCCTATTATTATTTTTCTTTTCTATTTCCAACAGCTGTCGACTTTGTCACTCCTGATGATGAAAGGATGCTCACCGATATTCAGAAATTCTACAACGTTGTGATCGCGGAGCTGCCTGAAAATATTGCAGATTTGATCTGAATGAGCTTGTCATCCAAGAAGAGGAAAACTGTCCTGTTCATTATAATTAGGTGGAAGTCCAAACAGTTAACTTTATAGTCAACATTAATTATTTTAATAAACTAATGATTTTATTTATATTTTCACTATCCAGGCAACATCTTGTTTGTCCTGGATGTTCCAAAATTTGTCAAAAACTTCAATTTTTTCCATTTTGCAGTCAGATATCTGGTTTCTTATAGAGATCTGTTTCCTTCTGTTTGAAATTCCAAAGACCCATTTATATAAAATTCTTTTGAGGTGTAGTTTTGAGTATTCTCCTTGTCAATACATATCATGAAGTGAATGAAGCTTTTGGTTCTGCTTTAATCTCTTGGAATCATAGCTTCCAAAATCAGACTATGCATGTGTAGTTTCAACTCAAGTACATAAACTTTTTTCCTTTTCTATTTTGGTAGTTTAAAGGATTTTAACTTTTACAACACCATTTCGGCTAAAGCCCATGCGGCGTGGTGGGCTGCCACCAGCCTCTATTCCAAACCGACATATGGGAAGGGTCAGAAAAAGCATGTGATGAATGTTAATGCAGAAGCACGTACATCTAAATCTTATTGGGCCCTTGATTCATGATCACATGCGTACAGCTCCTTCAGTCCTTACATTGGGAAACCTCATGCCTCTGTAATCTGTACCATTCAAACACAAAATGTACCTCTAAAATTATTGTATCCTTCCTTCTCTTTTGCGCACGTAGAAAATGTTTCCTGGGAAACAAGCCTTTATAGATATTTGAAATCTTTAAGTTAAAAGTTGAAAATTTATATATAAATTTTAAATTTTACTTTAATATAAAATAAATTTCTGATGTATAGTCCAAATATGCTAACCTGAATTAGAAGTAAATATTGTATTAATTTGAGCACAAATTAACTTGACAATAATCTGTCTGTACGTCTTTAACTCGAGGGGATTATAAGGTGGTGAAAATGTCAAACACTGGTCCTGGTAATGGATTCTCATAAAAATTCCTACGGTCACTTTTGAAAATGACTATCTTTAATATACTTTCTTTGCAAAGGCAAAAACAAATTCATTGCTGGGTTTAAGCCAGCAAGCAGCTGCACACCCCATAACGCCACACCTGTAGCCCATTTTCCCTGCATCTTCTCTATCCATTCTTGTTCTGCCGAAAGTTGCAGAAGATATATGTGGGATCTAATTCTAATCTCTCTCAATGTGATGTTGCTCCTTTAAATTATTTTCCTATATAACTATATTATCACATCTCCATGCTTGTTTGTTCAACCAAGCGGCGGGCTCCCCTCATCATTTGAACATGCAAAATCCATGATCATTCCATCTCCTTAGAAGGGGAAGTCTAGAAAGCCTACAAAACACCCACTTCCCATAATTGGAAATACCTTATTATTAAGCATGACCTGTTAGGCTGTTATCCACTCTTCCTCATCATTAATCCTTGGCATCTTGTTAGGGTTAAATCTTAATTTTTGCGTTCTTAATCTGGCTTAAGTCTTTGCATCATGTATAGAGAGCTACTTTTTAAAGTATCATATCATCAATTACACTACCCAAATGGGAGAATGTATAATGGGCGGCGTGACGTTGCTCGCCACAAACCGCTCATTAGCATTTACAATATGACTGATTGGTTATATTCCAGCTCTTTGTCAATGATCCTTTATATCATTGCTTTGATTAACCAATGAAAATAAAAAGCATATATACTTTATGCTACTTTTGCCGCGGTATTAGATCTCTAGGAGGACATATATTTGCACGCGTTCATTAGTGAGAATTTGTTGGATCTCTTAATTATTGGATGATGATTTTTTTGATACTTTGAATCTTACATCAAACAAAAAATTTATAATTGTGAATATAAGTGGTAATAGTTTATAATTGTTATGATTAATGTCAATTATATATTTAAGTGATTTATTAATAATCTTTTTTTAATGAAAATAAAATATTTTAAATTTAAAGTATACAATATATATAAGATTTAAAAACTTTAACTTGAGCAAGATCAAAAAATAAAAAATAAAAAATAAATAAACTTTGACTTGAGCAGTTGGATATGTCGGCAATAAATTTTAATATAAATCTTTTCCGCCATTGTATATTTTCATTTACAAAGAAAGAAAGAAAGAAAGAAAGAAAAGGACCACTTCTTTCCCTTTCTATTTTTCAAAGCTAAGGGGCAAAGTAATTTCCAAAGTAAATGGATGCAATGAAGCTTTATTTAATAAGGGGATCAAGGACCGAGTTTTGAGTGGTGAGGATAGCTTTAGTAGGGGCACTAATTGGTAATATTATGAGATCAGTGTGTCCATATGGGGTTAGGTTTGTATAATTGTCTGATGGTACGTATCAGAAGACACATTACTGTTGCCTTTGGACTTTCCCTTTTCTCTTTTGCCATAAATCTTTAAATAATGATATTGCCTGTTTGACTATAATACTAGTCATTTTTCTTAATAAAAATTTTAAAATAATTTATATTTATATTTATATTATTTTTAAGACAAAATAAAGAGAAAAAAAAAGTAAATAATTAAAATTAATTAAAATAAAAATATGTTTTCTTTAAAAAACAATAATAATAAAACAAAATTTTAATAAAAAAATAACTATTATTAAGAGACCGTGAGTATTAAAATATCAAAAGAGTGGCCAATAAACGACTAACAAACATTAATTTTCTGGTGCGTGAAGTATCCACTCTCTTCTTCGATATATTGACCCTTACATACTTCCCCTTCCTCCCCAACGCCAGAGCCAAGCCAAGCAAAGCAAAGAGTTGAGATGTGTGTTGCGCTCTTCTATTTTTAAGTTTATATATGGAACAGCATTTCTGGGTGGCCAAATTAAGAAGGGCACGGTGCATGATTGGATCTGGAGATATATGTATCTCATTTATGCATGGAGGGTCGTATAACCGTTCTAGGGTAAGGGAAGAGGTGACAGAAGAGAGTGAGCACACATGGTGTTTCTTTGCATGCTAGGAATATTCATGCTTGAAGCTATGCGTGCTCAGTCTCTATCTGTCACCCCCACCACTCTCTCCCCTCTCTTTGAGGATTATGTTTGTTTTCCATGATTTTTTTGTGTTTATAATTAATTTTTGTGTTCTAGTTGTATTACAACTCCTCAATCTTTCTGTGTATTTCATCAACTAGTTTCTGAGTATTTCACTAAAATGAGGTGCAATTATTGATTGCAAAAAACCCATTATCCCAAATATTTGTATCTAATAAAGAAAGGAAACAAATGATGGTTTTTATTTTTTTTCTTTGGCCAAAGGGACAAAATGATGATTCGTATGGAAATTCCAAAATAACTTTCAGAGTTTTGTCACTCCAAGGAAAAATACATGATATTCAATGCTGAACTGAGAATATGCTTCTCAAAACCAGCCTCTGGGAACCAAGAGTTGATGAAGCTTTGACACTGCTTGGGACTTCCTGGGGACCATTTGTGAACAAGTTTGAACCCATATTGAGATGCAGCTGAGAGTATAGATGGTTCATCCACTTGGCGTAAGATGTGACAGAGAATCAGTGCTGGTTCTTGTTCCTCTTTATTGCCTCTGTTAGATGAAATCAGCTCTCTTGCAGTTGCAAACAAAGGTGAAACTGCTGCAGGAATGTAAGTTACATCTGTACCGATAATGACTTCAAAACCCTCGTTGTTTGTATCCTTAACAGCTTGTATTTGGTCCTTGTTTCCCCACTCTAGTCTATGTGAAGTCAATTTGGTTAGAAGTGGGGGACTAAGGTTTGAAGTGATATTTTGGTACAGCAGCTCAAGTGCCTTTTGATCTCCATCAGTGGCAACCACAATATCAGCTGATCTGACGGCAACCATGGAGCAGATACCACTGCAGCCACACCCTAACTCTAAAACTCGTTTCCCTGCAACAATACTTGGATTTCTTGCAAGGACAGCACCCATCAAACGAGCTGATTCCCACAGCATCAAGCCGGTTGATTTGCATGTATGTTGGTACTCTTTGGAAAGTACTTTGATCCTGAAGTTGCAATCCCCAAGCTCAATTTCAATTGTCTATGGGGAATAAGATGGGAGAAATTCAGCAACCATAAATGTTCAAGCTATATATAAATTGAAGTTTTAGATTAAAGAGGACAAAAAATGAAACGATGGAGAAACCTGGCATTTCCTGTTCGGTAAATGAAAAAGCACAGAAATGATTTTGAATATCTAGGAATTTAGTGCAAGTGTTTCACAAGTGTTTTACCTCGTTATAGTCAGTAGTTGAAATTCCAAACATTTCAACTGCCATGCCCTCAGATATGTCAACCTCAAAACTTTTCATAGACTCATCTGCAGTGTTGCCATTGACCTTAGGTTCAGTGTTTTCTAGAGCACATAGATTTGTCTTGGCTGGAGCCTCTGTGCAGGAATATGTGTTTATGCCATCTGAAGAGCGGAATACAGCTTGGACCCAGCGTCTAAATCATAGGCAATAAACAGAATTGGCTGGGGCCAAAACAAGAGCTAGAAAGTAGAATTAACAGATTAAAGAAAATTTTCGTTTTCTCAGTCAGTGAAAATTTACCGATTCATTACTAGATCACGTGAACGGTTTTCAACTTGTTTGCAGCACAAACTGAGTTCTTCAATTTCAAATCCATTTTCTTCAAACAAACTCGTCAAGAAGTCATTAGAGAAATAGTAAGCTCGCTGAAAAGGAAAATGCTTCATTATGAATCAATCTTATTGTAATGATACAATGCTAAGAATAATATGTATGGAATGGCAGGAACTTACAGTGCCATCACCCCTGACATAAAAGTTTTCACTGATTTTCTGATCCTTGCTGGTGAACCTTTCCTGTCATTCAATTCAAGAAGTAAAACGGAAGGTCATAATGATGAAGTGAACGATTGGATCAAGTGCCAACAGGTGTCAACTTAAACAAGTGGGGAAAATCTCTTAAAAGTCAACTTCTTATGGTTTAGCCTACTTGCACCAGTATAAATGTTCTAGGGTAGGATTATTATTGCTCCTTTGCTTCAATACATAATAGTTTCAAATCTTGTGATAAACTCTGATAGAAGTGATCTCCCTTATCTATTACATGGGAAAATCGAGGATGAAAATATATTGAAGATGCTAATACAAAACCCAGTGGAAGATAACAAACAAGTAAAGAATGGGACAGGGTATCTAGAGGTTTACAGTGCATTAATCACTGCACTAGCCTGCTTTGCCCCATCCAGAGTATAAAATAATAAAAAATAAAATAAAATAAAATAAAAATGTTTTAAAAATAAAAAATAAAAACACACACACACACACAAGTAATAAAAGATATCTTCTTAATATTTTTGTTCATATTATGCAAGCCTTAAGAAGAAGAAAAAAAATTCTTATACAAACCTTTCTGAAAAACACTAAGAGCAATACTCATCTCTTGTTATGTGGCTCTTACTTGGATCCCTAATCAACATTTAATGCTTAAAAAGAATGGTAGGATAGATCCACTTAAAAGGGAATGACAGTGCAGACCTGGGCAAGGTCACCAACAGCATAATCTCGAAACAGCACGCACCCATTTGGCTGGATGGAGTACAAAACCAGGAGGGCAAAAAAAAGAAAAAGAAATGGGAGTTAAATTGCATTTGGATTTTTTTTAATCTTAGATATAATATAAGAAATCCTAATGCTTTAATGAAAATTCAGTTCTTTACCTTGAGAACCTTTTTAATGTTCTGCAAGACCAGAGGCATCTTCTCCGGAGATACTGCAGAGAGTACAAATATCTAACTTAAAAAAGTTAGCTATTACCATATAAAAACATCAAAATTCAATAGCAAATCTAAAGCATAAGAGCACATGGCTCAAGCACAAACTAGGTAGGCTGCCACTTAAATAAATATGCAAAGTTATTATTTTTCAAGTACCATGGTCACAATATCAACTGACGTTGGAGGAACCTGCTTGCTTAGGTCATCCATAGTGAGATCACAAACAAAAACACTAACACGAGTCTCAGTGAAGTCTTTATGTGTCTGCAAGAAGCAAAATATATTCATTACCCTCAAGTTACATTTGACACTATCCCTTTATACCTAAATAACAGTTATCAATTAATGGAACAATAAACCAGACCTTGACCAAGTCAACTGCACGTGGTGAAAAATCACATGCATGAACAAAAACATTTGGGTATGTAGCAATCAAGGGGAAGATAGTGTTTCCAGCTCCACAACCAACCTGCTTATCAGCATCAATCACATCACACGTAGCATTTTAAGTAGCAAATTTGATCACAATATGAGAAAAAGCAAATAACTCAAAGCTCAAAGTGTCAAACATAAAATCCATAAGATGCAATGATCAACTAAGCAAAGTTAGCATGGTTTCCTTCCAACTGAATTAACCAAGTTCATTTCCAAAATTGCAACATTGCACAAATAAACAACATGCTGGTCAGACCAAGAAAGCTGATTAGTTGAACTAAACTCAATTAGAATGCAGAAAAGGTAGAAGATTGAAGCATTATGGAAGAATGGTAAATACATAAAGAAAGGCATTGTGTAAATGATGGCATGTCCACGCCAGGACTTACCTCCAAAAGGACTTTTGTCCCACTTCCCTGAGAAGAAAAACCAATAACAATGGAGTCAAATTCTAAAACAAGAATTATCCCCAAAAGTAGTTAGCAAACAATTCATTTTTAAAAAACTTACAGAGAAGTAGGAACCCCATTCCTTGTCCAAGTAATGCCGATCTTTGAAAAACTGAAGCAAGAAGGAATGAGCAAAGCCAAAAATGAGTATAATTCAACCGTAAAAGTTCTTTTAGCAGTGGTTGTATTTAACTATTAAGAAAACGTACTCTGTCTTGATGTCTCTTGTAGAATACATCCCAATACTTCTTAGCTTCTCTTTCATACTTCTCTGCAAAAAAATTAATAACAATAAAAGTTAAAACTAAGTAAAATTCTATGTACCATATGAATTTGTATTGAGTGTTGTGTAAGAAGGGAAAACCTCTCCAAAAGGAAGAGACTCCACCGTTAGAGTTCGAATATATTTGCAACTTCTGGGGTGGTTTTTGCTGCTCCACATTATCTTCAACATTGGATGCCATTAGCAAATAAACCTTCATGGGCAAAAACATTAACGGATCAACAGAAACACTAAACTACTATCAAGAGCTTACCAAAGTTGTAGCCAAACCTTAATTTTAAACCTCTACAATGCTAAGGAACTAACTTTAACTTCAATT